AGGCCCAACGTTTTTTTCACCGGTTTGTGGGTGTGGGATCCCCGTAAAAAGGCAGCTGGGCTTGGTGGCGTTGCGGGTGCCGCCTTGGCTTTTTTGCCCCCCCCCCCCGCAGATGCCCCTGTCTGGGGGCATTGCAAAGCACACAAATCGAAGGAGCCGCCACAGAAGTAAAATTGACAGGAAGCGCCTCGTTGCAAGCCGGAGCCAGGCTGAGCGGAGAAGAAAAGGGGCTTCCGCTCAGGGCATGGCGGGGAGGGGCAGATCGCTGACCTTACCTCGTCTTCCTGGTTGGGATGAAGCCAGAGGTCCCGGCCCCCACCCCTTGGGTGTCCGCAGGGTGGGAGTGGCAGGTGTCGCATTAGGGCAGAATTGGCCCAACGCACGGAGTGGCGTCGTGGCGCGACTGCCGTCATTCTGGCTTCCACCGGACAGCTGGGTGCCTCCCGGTGTCCCTGTTGAGGCCCTTCCACCGGCACCCGACCTCCCGGGTTCTGAATTGCCTTAGGAGCAAGAGGGGGCAGTTGGAGGTAAATCAGCCACCCGTTCAAATAAAATTTAAATCAATGCTATTTATCTCAGATAGTGGGTAATTAAATAAACGGGCTCAGCTGTATCCCGGATGCAAGAAAGTGCTTAGCAATTCCTCCCTCCCCGTGTTTGCCTTCCGTGATGCTCGTTAAGATGCTTTTAGACCCTCGCGAGCCCGTCGTCCAGAGCAGATGCGTCCAACAGATGTGCCTGTTTCGCAGGCGGGGGGTGGGGAGGGCTTTTGAAACTTTGGCGGCAGACTAGAAAACGGTGCCCACCACCACTGGCAAATTGTACCCTGGGTCAAAAGCGCCTCTCAGGACCACGTCCTCACAAGGCTGCCCAGCAACGGGGCACCAGGAATGGCTGCGTCGGGCGTGTGGCAAATGCCTGTTTTGATAGGCGTCAGGCTGGAGGGTATTTGCGAGGCTTGCCCTAAAGAGGGCTGGTTGGTTGGTGAAATGGAGAGGTTTCCATGGGGTTGGCCCCAGTTTTTCCCTTTTTCTGGGCTGGCTGGCCTGGATTCAGACCCGGGTCTCCACCCTCCACCCTTCCTCTGCGATCCATCCCCTGCCTGGAGGTCTTCGGAGTTTGGAAATGTCCCCCTTTGTGGCGGTAGATGCTCTTCTGGGAGATTCCCAAGGCTGGCTGTGCTTCGGGCAAAGGCTCGGGAGTGACGGGGAGGACAGGTGGGCTGGCTGCCCTCCAGCCTGCTCGAGGGTTAAGGACAAAGACAGCCTCTTGGTGAGCTGGCACCTTTTCAGCTGGCAAGGGGCCCGTTCTCGTGCGCTGCAGTGCCAGGCTGTGGAATAGCTGTGACCGCAAATCCTGATTAATGAGGTAGGAGCCCAGCCCCGGCAGCTCCTCTGGCGCTTGGGAATGCAAATCGCTGACAGGGCTTGTGCCAGGCTGAGCCGGAAAGGAGAGGGCAGTGCGCAGGCCGGCCCGCCCAGCCAAGCAGCGGGATTTCCCCTTTTCCTTCCCTCGGACAGATGGCGGCCTGGTTCCTGCTGCCAGCGAAGGCTTGCTCCGTGCTGAGGGTGTGCAGGGAGTTGGGTAGGAATGGCGGAGGGACTTAACCACAGCGCAGCTTGGATTGTGTTAACCTTGGTCAGCTTTTAGTAGAGATTGGGGGAGGGGAGCGAAAAACCAGGGGTCTCTGGTAGCGTCCTTTCCCACTGGCATCTAAAAAAGATGCATAAAAAGCATCGCTGCAGCTCCCCAAAGGTTCTGCCTTTCAATAAGATTTGTTAGTCGGAAAAGGGGCTACCGGAGCCCTGCTTTCTTGCCCGCCTAGACAAACACGGCTCTCCTGCCGTTTGACTTCCGAAGTCTTCAGCATCAGTTTGCAAATCCGAATACTGTAGGTCTTTGCTTACGCTCTGAGTTCTGAGTCTTCCCATGAAGCTCCAGGGTTTTGGAGGGGCCCGGAGCCCCCTCCTTTCCCATCAATTTTCCTCCCTGGGTGGTATTGTC